GTTGACTAAAGGAATTTTGTCTGAGCAATTACGGAGACAACGCTATTATATAATTGAATACATGCGGCACAGGCGATCATCTCTGATATATTCGCTGCAGAAAAATCATCTTTTATTTGGCCAAGAAAGTCAAATAGGATCTCATGAATGTCTAAATTATTTCATAACATTTCATAAATCATAAATGTGTTATTCCGCTACTTTTAGATCCTATATCTCGGCTGAATTTTGCATAACGAGGAAAAACGCAACTCCTTTCGAAGAATTTTTTGTGTTGTATGGCATTTGTGATACATTTACGTATATTTCGTGTTGAGTATAGAATATATATACTTACGCATAGTAACCCAGATATGCTGAAAGTTGTATGCGATACATACATTATACAAATTCCGCAATTTTATTTGCGACATCATATCGCATAAGAAGGAAAAAAGGAGAATATGTCCGCGATGTATGCCAACGTTTAAATTTCCGAATGATGAGTTCGTGTTCGTGACGTGACAATTTACGAGTCTCGATCAGAGACTACCCACTTCCTCTCCAAAAAAGACACGCAATTTTTCATTTCAGAAATGTTGTTTTGTAATTTTTGTGAGATATATATGAAAACATTATGCGTACAGAAAAAAAAGCAGTTAAATAATCATATTTAATTATCTATTTGAACGCAAAATATATAATTTGTTTTAGATACTAATTTCAATTATAGGCATGCTGATCATTCATCACAAATCTTCAAATTGATGACATCAGGAGCAAGAAAATACATAATTAAAATTCTTGCAAGAAATATATTAAAATAAAAACATTTTTCAATAATACAATATTTATGTTTGAAAAAATACGTTTGTAAAATATACTGAAAATTTCTTTTTTATTTCGGAATAAATTCATAATAAAAAATTCATATTAATCTCGATTCGACATTTGTCTAGCTCGTTTCGTTTTCTGGTCAGACATAATTCAATTTCATATATGTTAAAGTTATTTATTGATTACCGGAACACACGGAAAGTTTTCGATTTTTTACAAATATTCTGTCGATTGCAAATGTCATTTTTTTAAAAATTACTTTTACATTTTAATATAATTTCCTGTATATATTCTTTTCGCTTCTAACATTGCAATGTAAGGTAGTTACAGTAAATATATAATATAAGGAGCATTAAACACATCTATTTAAAAAAATTAGAATTGTTAGAATTGTCCATGTAAAAATTATGCACATACATTTAATGTAAAAAAATTAGGTTTAATTAACCATCACCTAGATTGGGATTAATTTGCAACAACAGGAAACAATGGAACTTTTGTGCGACTGGCTAGATGTAATTCTCGTTAATGTTTTCATAAATTTGCGAATCTGTGTCGCGTACTAATGAGTCGTGTGAAGATCGCACTACTATTATTAGACTAAAAATTAGCGTGTTGATTCGGTACTGGGAATCCCGATAATGATCCATAGATGGATAAGAGCTAATCATGTTCCAAATGGCAATTATTTTGTAAGATGTAATTAATGAGAAAACTGATGCCGTGCGAGACTTATTCGTTCCGTCAGTAGGTCACCAGGATCTTGGTATCGTTAGACAATCGGCGACGACGGCTAATCCGAGAAAGTGAGAATCGGACCGTGCACGAGGCGCGGGGAATTTACGAATGGTGGTCGTAATTGAGGCCACCTTCGACCCGCGACTCCCGCGAGACGCGCGTTCGTTTTGAAGCAAAATGAAATAAAGCCATACGTGTTATGAAAATTTAATTTCAAATAAATTTGAGGATAACCATAGTTACTCGATGGAATTTTTAAGTACAAAAAATTTTTAAATACAAATAATTATATTTATTATTAAACTTGCAATCAACTATGATTATTTATATTTAAAAATTTGATTATTCGCATACAGAATCGTGCATGCGATAATTAAATATGCACCACACAATTCTGCGTACTGGTTATCGATTTCTAATTATATGTTAACGAATAAAATAAATTTGTTTAAATCAAATAAGTAAAAAAGTCAATATGATTGAAACTTGGGTGTCTAATAATATTCATATAAATTTTAAATATGTTTTTTAGTTATATACTGTATACCAATTATTATCATATTTGAAACGCAATCACAAATTAAAGTTAAAATAATATCACAAATAAATTAATCGTCAAATTAACCTTCAATACGCACAACTCTGACGGTCCGTATCTACACACATCCAGGTATTTGAAAGCCCAACATTTTCTTTTGCTTGTATCTCAGATTATGGTACATCAATTTTAACAAATTTTTTTTTAATCTATCGTTTAAAGACTGAAAAAAAAAAGAATTTTTGAAATGTTCTAAAATGTCATAGCACAAAAGATATTTTGCAAGTGAGAAAGAATGAAAAAGAACGTGAAAACGAATTTTTTTCAATCTCATCTTTTTGTCAAAAATAAATGAAAAAAGATTTTATTAATGATAAATCAACAGCTAATGAGTTGAACTTTAAGAAACTATAAGCATTTTTGCGATTTGTTCTAAAAACGATACTTTTTTTTGCAAAGTGAAAATGAATAATTTTTCAATTTCATAGAAACTAATCATAAACCGAAAATCTTTGAATTTTGATAGAAATAAATAAAAAAAGTGATTCTAATGTTCTTCTAAAGGTAAATATTAACAATTTACTATTATATTTACCGCATTAATATTTACCGCATTTACCGCGGGAATCATTAACGAGGAAGAAGAAGAAGTTTTTTTCTGATATTAAGAGCACAATAAAATTAACTTAAATCATTTTTTTATGTGCACTCATAATTAAAATCATAAATAATCCAATTATTTCTATTTATATTTCAATTTTGCAGTAAGCCCGATTTTTTTGACGTTGATCCACAAGGAATTAGGATAATCCTAACACGTACTTTACATCGTACAATTATTTATCATACAATTACGTAACTAATGGCACATTAGAAGGTCGCCGAGCAAGGAAATTATAGAGGTAAAACTTAAATTTTTTCCTCTCCAGGGGATCGATTCTGTATCTTGAAATGAGGTGAAAATTATAAAAGTGAGCGAATTTATTAGAATACTGATTATTTCATTGATCAACACCTGATAAATTTGTTCGCTTTTGTAATTTTCCTTGTTTAAAGGTACAGAATCGAGTTTCAGCACCACTGCTCAAAGCATCGAATGCCTGAATTTTGAAAATCGGGTGGAATTACGCTAATCCCTTGTGTGATTGAAGGTTAATAATGATATTAATAAGCATCTTTAAACGTATAAATAACTTATTGCGAAAAATATCCCAGCCAAAGTAAATTTATTTAAATCATTTGACAAAAATAACGTTTCTCTTCGTCGTGTATTTTTCGGTGTCTCTCTTTCGCATTTTGATAAGACGATAGACAAATTGTGAAAACATTGCAATAATGGAATCATAAAGTAATGAAAAATTTCGCAATAATTCTGTATCTAATAATTGTTCTAAGATAATTCGTATTCTAAGATAACGCAACAGTTTTGTCAAAATAAAATAGATAAATTTCTAAACGGTATTTGTAAAAAAATTATAAAAATCCAATTTGAGGTGTAAATATTCTCTCAAGAATAATAAATGAGACGCTGACAGTATATTGAAGAAATAAATCAGGATATATTGTTCAATTATTTCCAAATGATCGACGAACACTTTCAAAAGATTGATTCATATATCTCAGAAATTGTTTGATTCTAAATTTTTAATTTAGCCATATTAAATGTATAATACTTCATGATGCAATATTTTTGTATTATAATTTAGAAATAAGAAATAATTTGTACATTTTTATTGAGCACAATTATTTTTAAAATATAGCTAAAATAAGCTAAAATATTTTTTTCAATTATTGGAACAATTTCTTTTCAAATTTAATTTGGCAAATACATTAAGATGATTCGCTGCATCGTTATTGTTTTGTCAAAATACTATATCGAAATATCGAAATTAATTACGTAAACACTTGTTACCAATATTTTAGAAAAGATTAGAATTTCGTATCTATTTTTGTAAATATATCCGTATATATAACTACAATTTCAAATTTTATTTTTAATATTAATATTTTATAATATTTCATATAAAGTGGATTATTATTAGAGCCATAATTGGAAAAAAGTTATTTTTTACTTTAAATAAAATTAAAATTAGTATAAAAATAAAATTAGTATATTAAGGTTTTTATACATGATAATTTTTAATAGGCAAGTGTGCGCTAAAATATATTAAAAAGATAAATTTGGTTTATGTAATTATGAATCATAAAGTGAAAATGACAATAAAATTAATATTACGCTATCTTTATTACAATTCGTGTCAATTCGTGGGAACATTTTTTATATATTTCAAATGATCCTTTTTTTTTATTGCTTCATTTCTATGATACACATTAATCAAACACACGATTATTAATAGACATTTGTTAGTGACATTTCTTAGAAATTTTCCTTTTCATCAATTCTCAAAGATTTTTGATGATGTTGACTATATGTGAAAGATAGTGTGTATATTTAAAATTTTAATCAGTATTTCATAAAGAAATAATAAGGGATTTACGCGCGTAGTCTTTTTTTCGCAAGATTGAAAGTAACAGATGAGACTTAAAAAGCGATCCTTTGGAAGACGCTACTGAGGAGATATGCAAATAAATCGCTTTCTTACCATCGACGCACCGACACGTCGATTCACTAACTCCATTTTCACTTTTGAAATCTATACCGCGCCAGTAGTCTACTTGAACATATAATATCCGCCGTCACTGTTGCGTGACGTTCTATCGTCAATTCGTCCGAGCGGAACCAGGATCACCTCATGATCCATTGTCGTCGACATTCACGTTTTCACACCCTTTTTAAAATCCGAAAAAATTTCTTCAGATTGATTAGATTAGAAAAGGAAAAATTCTCACTTACTCAGGGCCATTGATGAAGACATCTTCGTTCGAAGAGAAGAGGGAAAAATTTATTTAGGACATCCCCCGGCGTTTGTTTGTTTACAATGTCGCGAATGGCATCTGTGACACCCAGGGCCGAACGAGAGACACGGCCGAACTATTTTAGCTAAGAATTGTCACGGAGAGTACTGCCGGCGAGTTATGCATGATGCGTCGAAAGCGGCGAGTGAAATAGAAAGAGGGAGAGAAAGAAAGAGAGAAAGAGAATGAGATAATTGTGGCGGGGAGAAGGCACAACACCGACAGTAAAAAAGAAAAGAAAGAAGAGATAAGTAAAGGAAGCAATCACAGTTGCACGGGACGAGCCACGAAACGACTGTCCGTGAAAAGACCTCGACACACTTTATTCTCGAGGTTCGCGACCAACCGATCGGTTCACTCTCTCCCATTCTTCCTCCTTCTTTCTCCGGAGGCGCCAGTTCCTGGTCTCAAGGGAAAGTGGTATTCCTTCTACCATCTTCTATACAGTCAATACTCTGCCTTTCGACGACGATTCGTCATCGCGACGCGCAGGAATGCAGCTGGCGAGCCATCTTCTCTTAGATCCATCTTGAAAATGATCTATTCAAGAATATACATTATGTAAGAAGTATAGTCTCCTATCCGAAACGAACTGGATTTTTGGATTCAATTTAGCTGGTACTGTTGGGTCGGATTATAAAGGATCTCGCATGCCATCGGGACGCGATTATTCGCGAAGTACGTCTTTGCTTCTGGGCACTAGAGAAAGAAAGTGTAAGCCAAACGTAGAGTCTAATAGTGTTGGCTAAATTTATTTACGTTGCTGCTGCGACAGTTGTCGCTACATCGAGTTCCTGCATTTCGCTGTATAAAGTAGGCGCAGCTACCGCATTATTCTCAACACGTACAATTTATCTTCTGTGATTCCGAAATCCAATATACAAATCCCGGTCCAAATACTCTGACAAGGAAAGAATACTTCTCTTTCAGAAAAAGAAAATTATGCAATACAATGGCTATGTTTACACCGTGTGCTTAGACCGCGACCTATGCGACAGATGTTTTTGTTTAATCTACAGGATAAACAAGGATACTTTGTATAGATCATGACCTAAATGCGGTATAAATATAGCCAAAGTCCTTCATCATACATTACTCGTTTATTATATTCTATTAAAACAAACTCGTTTAAAATAAACAGGTGCACTTATAGCCTCTACTTTCTCATTAAGTCGTTTCTTGGATGATGATAGAGCTAACCGATCAATATATCCGCAAAGCAAATAAATGACAATTTACAAACCGATAAGAAAATAAGTAATATTTCACCTCGTAGGGACACTTTAGTGGAATCTATTAACACATGTACAAAAATCCGCTAGTTACGAATAGTTAGAATGTGTCACAAGATGTATGTATCATGCAAAATGGATACATGTATAAGAGAAATGATGACAAGGAGGATATATAATTGCAAATTATGACGAGTGCTCTCCTTGGATAATATTATGCACAATATAAATTTTGTATAAAATTGACATTTTGCTCGATAAATGTATACGTGATTTTTTTCCAATCGATCAAGCTGGTGCGGAAAACGAAAAGCATTTCTGACAGTTGAAATCCTTATACTTTCAAGACCGAATGTTGCAATTCGTGCAATTAATAATTTGCAATTTGTCATAGTTTATCTGCGCGTTAGACTACTCTGTATTCTGTAGTCGCTAATCAAGGAATTCGAAAAATTCTGTAGTTATTTGAACGAATGTTCATGATTGCGAAATGTCGCGTAATCCGATAATCAATATTTTCTCATGGGCATAGACGATTTGTACGCCTCAAACCGTTCGTACGACGGCGCGGTCCCAGGTGCAGCCAATCCCATAGACTGCATTGGTCCACTCTGATACGTCGGCGGAATCGGATGTCGCAGTGTATTTCCCATGCTACTCGAGTTGCTCCATCTGCAATCAGCGTACGATTATTTAGCTATCGAATTACATCTAAAAATATCTCTTATCGCGATCATATTGCATATCATAATAAAGTAAGGTCACAGTGCTGAAAGTTATATCTGTGAATCAAATAGTTTACCTGTTAACGCTATCGGATGATCTAGAACTCCAGCTAGAAGGCTCGTTGCGAGGATCGCGAGACCCACTGCTTGTCACAGAGTTAAAGGATTTTGAAGATGTAGGTCCCGAATGCCAACCACTTGGTGTACGATTGCTTTCCACATAACGACTTTCACCTGTATATAACAATAGCATGCAAGAATGAATGAAGACGGTGCTTTTATTATTTTTTTAATAATTTACAATTAAAACATTCATCTCTCTCTATGTTTTCCGCAAGATATATAAAAATTATTAAAATATTCACCAACAAGAAAAAAGTTAATTATACAATCTTATTTAAATATAAATTAAAATTGCATTACATTAACTCTGCGTTCGTATTACTTGGTATGCTTTATAATAAAAACTATGTTAATCACGCTTGCAGGGACATGATAGGTATGATTGATGCGTGTTCGCGTCGAGTATCGCATAGCATTTAATAGATAAACCAGAGAAACTTTTGTACACTGCTTTCATATCCTGTTCATAGAATCGTAAGACTGATAGCAGGTTCAACTAACTACAATGAAAACTCAACAAAAATCATATAAATTTTTATTATGAAGCATACACATTTATAAAAGAGAATACAGACTGGATTTGGAATGATAATGAATTTCTGTACAAGCTTCAATGATAATATATAAAAGAATACCAAACTAAAATACTTAAAAATTAGGAAACTTAAACCAGCGCTTAATTCTTAGTACAAACTTCTATAATCTGAAATTATTAGGATCAAGTAAAATCCTATTCTCAATTTCTTCTTATGTGTATATATATTTACCAATATATTTCTTTTTACAGTATGAAATAAAATTATTTTAATTTTAATTCTTAAAGAAAAAATTATTTTTCTATATAATAAATTTAACATTAATTATAATAATAAACACAAACTTTAATAAATTATATATGAATTTAATAAACAAACTTAACATAGTATTTAGTAGAACTTCAAATCATAAAGCCTAAACAATTACTATATTTAATAAAGAAATCTAATGATAAAAGTGTTGGATTTAAAAAAGAAATATTTATGTGTATGAGCCGACATGTGTTACCAAAAATTAAGAATACTTAAACAAACAATATCTTTATTATATATTCGACTAGCTAGTTTTTTTATAACTTAGTCATATATAACGTGTGCTCGTAACTATATAAACTATTTCTATCTTTAAAAATGTTTGGCACTTAAAAAAAAAAGATTTGTAAGATATCCCTTCCTTTTGCTCATATATTAATATTTTCTCCTTCACAAATATCATAAAATATTTTTATATAATAAAAAATAATGTTTATATATTGATAAAATCCATTTCTCAAAATTATTGACTATTTACGTGAAAGATATATAAATTATAAAGAACGAGATTTCTTTACTATAAGTTTATTTAATTTTCCTGTGTGTATCAATTTTTCTTACTAAAAAATTAAACTTTACATTTTTTAAATCTCAAAAATTTTGTTGAGTAAAAAGTTTATTTTGGGCGCATATTTCAATGTTTATAATATATATATTGAAAGATAATATAATTTATCTGTACTATCTAATTTCACATTATTGTATATCGTCCAAGAATTTCAAATCAAGAATACTCTAAACGAAAATAAATTTACATGTATAATATCAGGTCGTGTGTATATATTCTCTTCTTTGTCAGAAATGTTCGTGAGGATGTTTTGGCTACTGTATTGCTTCCTTACTTAACGTAATGCCTATATCCTGTGTAGAAAATTAAAGAAAAACCGTCTAAAAATGGTTCAGTGTGATATCGATTATAAGAGTAGAAAAGGAGATAAAAATTCCTAGTGTCGTGTAGTAAAATCACTTCTTGTACATATACGGTTTATTTCATACTTACGTGGTGTGCTAGATGTCGGAGGTTTGAAACTATCACTGTATCGCGTATGAGTGTCTCTAGAACTTCGATGTGTTTCGGGATCGGAACGTCGTACTTCGCGTTCGCGAGTATAGGACGTGGTATTCGGACGATCATATCTGTGTAAATTCAAATCAAAAATGTAATTAATTTGAAATATGATTTCATTTTCATTTTATGATTTAAGAGTATAATACGTACCTTTCCTTAACTTGTCGAGGATCCAAGGATGAGGATGTGGTAGATAAACTTTCTCGCCGTACAATGACTTCTCTTCCCCGAGAAACATCGGAAAAGCTGTCTGGTCGACTGTTTCTTGAAGAAAAATCGCTACTTCTCTTGAATTCTTTTTTCAATCCCAACTCTTGAGTGGATCTGAAATAAATTTCATTATTATTATCAATATTAATATTGGATTAGTCATCATAGTATTCGGAAATTTCGTGATGATTTTTGATAGATTGAAATGATATATACTGCAAAGCATAGTATTTAATATATTTTTAATAAAAAATTGTTTTAATAAACTTTAATAAAATTTTAAAATATGACAAATTTTAATTTTAAAATATTGTTTAAGTTTACCTGCTGGATTCATATCGAGATGGTGGCGAAGGATCCAGTCGTCTATCTGACACTCGCTCCAACATCTCATTTCGCCTATCGACAATTCTTTCCGGGCTATGCCTGCGACTATGTTCTGTAGCTAATCGTTTTCTGTCAGATTCCGCGTACAAATCTCGCGGATCTCTCCTATCGCTGGACGATCTCTTTATGGACGGTGGCGGTGGCGCGCGTCGACTCTCTTCCAAACGCATCTGCTGTCTCTTTAATTCCAATCTTTCGCGCTCGAGCTTTTCCCTCTCAAGCTTTTGCCGCTCCCGCTCGAGTCGTAGTAACTCGGCCTTTTCCTGTTCGATCCGTTCTCTTTCTCGTCTCAACTTCTCTCGTTCTCTCTCTAAGCGTGCAGATTCTTCTCGATGTCTACGCTCTATCTCTCGCTGACGTTCCATGTCTTCCCTTCTTCTTCGCTCTTCCTCTCTTAGCATTCGTTCTCTTTCGCGCATTCTTTGCCGCTCACGTTCTTCCTGAAAATTCAAGATTTTGTCTTTTACATGAATTCGTTTTTGCTACTAATGATCTTATTCGAAATCGAAAGCTGAAAATATTTACTCTGATTTTAGCAAATGTGAGAACGTCGTCTCGCTTCCGTCGTTCGCGGCTCCGAGATCTACTATGAGATCGGTGATCTCTCTCCCAAGTACGAATCCGTTTTTCTTCTCGCCTTCCTCTCTCACTTTCCGGCTTCTTGCTAGTAGACTTTGTCGATCGAGAATCGGACTCTTTAGACAAATCTTCCTTTTTGTCTGGCATTTCAATTTTTATTTTTAGTTCGACACTTTCATTTTTATCATCAGATTTTTTTGCTAAACAAACGTAATATATATAATC